CGACATTAAACTGATGCCTTGTTCTATTTATGACGTACTGGCACAAAGTTAATATGATTTGCGACGGTCGCTTTGTCGCGTCCAGTGTAGAGCTGTTGCGGCGCGACGCGACAACTGTGGTGTCCGGTATAGACACGGTGAGTGAAGCCGAGATCAAGATATGCCTTGTCATATTTTACTGCATTTAGCTTTTGAATGACCAGCACCTGCCTGGGTCTGTGCGACTTCATCTATGGCTTTTCTCTTCGCTTTCACAAACCGATCCATCTCCCATTCTAATTACGTCCTTTGGCTGTTTATGGTTTTATTTTTTTATTTTTCTGCTGATGGCCCGCGCTCGACTTGAAGCAGCGCTGCTTAGACCTATGGGTGTGTGTCATCAAAGTACTGCGAGAGCTATAAGAGAGCGCGGACGTCTCAATATGCTTTCTCTTGCTGTACTTTGATGTCAAAGGCTACACCGATTGATCTTCAAGTGAAACACACCTCTTTACTCTGGCGTGTCACGTGACCGAGTGTAATCGCAGTCTCTGCGATCGAAAAATCGTGTTTTTTCATATCGCGATATTATCGCAAATGCAATTAATCGTTCAGCCCTAAATGATACCCAACCCTACCTGGCCATAGATCTGTTGCAGGACAGTAAATGTGATTTTACAGGACAATGCGGGACATGTGTGAAACAGATACATTTATTACTGTTATTCAATTCAATTTAATTCAAGTTTATTTGTATAGCGCTTTTTACGATACAAATCGTTGCAAAGCAACTTTACAGAAAATTAAGTTTCTACAATATTAGTAGTAGCTTATCAGTGGTGACTGTCAGTTTATGTACATATGGCAGAAATCAATTAAAGACGTAATCAAACAGACGATGAACACTATTAACAGCAATTATTATATGATGCAATCAAACTTATAGCAAAATTTGGTAGTTCTGTATGTTGTTTCAGGGTTGGCATCCTCTGAGGGGTTGGCATCATCTCTTCTCAGGTGTTCTGGATCCAGACTCAAGCTTGTGTAAATCCTAGTTACCACAGGATGTCAATCCCGTGGCAAAAACAGAGAAACAAATAGACAGTTATGTCAATTGTATTATGTGGGGGGGCTCTATGGTATCGAGCTTATATATATATATACAATATCATGTTTTTCCGTGTGTGCTGCTCGACCATTTCCGTCGGTGGTGCTCGAGCATTGATGAGGTCCGCACTTATTCCTTTGAGCCGTCCACGCAGTCATCATCAACGGAAAAACCCCACACCCCTAATCCTAACCATTGCGTATCATATATAATGCACACCAAAGTCAATTTCTGCGTATAAATAGAACACCAAATAAAAACTGAAACTTGTGGTATTGATACGCACTTTCAAAATTTAAGATATAAAGCAGCATAGATTTTTATTTTAAGACAATCATATACTTTCGTGGGCCAAATAAAATAATGTGGCGGGCCGGAATTGGCCCGCAGGCCTTGAGTTTGACACGTGTTTCAGACGAATCCAGTCAGAGCTTCAAATAAATTATCCACCCGCCAACCGGCCGCACCTGTATTTTTGTCTGATTTAGATAACTGCACCCAATCATCACATTAGGGTTCGTACGGTCATGAAAAACCTGGTAAAGTCATTGAACAGCAATTTCCAGGCCTGGAAAGTTTTGTAAAAATAAATAAACCCAGAAAGTTTTTGAAAAGTCATGAAAATCTATTTCACCATTCTCTTACATTTAATCAGGTCCTGAATTTCGTTGCGGGATTGCGCACACATCGCATTACTCATTCCCGCAGCTTTCGACATTAAAATGAGGGAAATTGCTGCAAAACATTTATTCAATATAGCGTGTAGGTTAGATGAGTAAATAAATCCACACAAACCATCAGATGAAAACAGCGTGAGTGATTCAGCTGTACCGCTTCTTCTCTCTTTGACTTTCTCTTCACATCGATGCATCTAGAGCTGCTGCATGGGCGTTTCGGGACAGTTGACAGAATTGTCAATTGCCTAATTGGTCATTGTTGCATCGTCACAAAAATGTGTTATTTTCACGTCTTTTTAAGCCATTCGGTACTCGCACTCTCCGGAGGCGCTTTTCCGTGCGCTCACAGTCACATCCACTGAGAAAGCACTGTCGGTTTTGTCTTAAGTTAATGTAAACAGTTGCGAAATAAAACGCATGAGTATCAGTATTGGATCCGTGAAATAGGTCTTGTGACAGCAGCCTAATAAAGCTGTGCCGTCTGTCATTAATGTTAATCAAACAACAAAAGACAGAGAAAATCCCTCACTGCTCTTGACTAAATAATATTTTGTTGAATAACTTTTAATGTTTTTTTTTATAACTTTTAATGTTAAACTTTTAATAAATTTACAGTTTATTAAATTCCTGTAGCCTGTTTAAAACACGTTCATATTTTAGAAAATGTAGTTAATATTTGCATCATTAATTATTTATTTTATCCACCCCGCGACCCACCCACAAATAATCAGAATGCATTTTTTTATTACCCGACCCACCCGATCCGCGGATTATCCGCAGCGCCCGCGGTCAGGCGAACGAACACACACACGCACGCACGCACGCACGCGCGAAATAGTCTGCCTCATGAAAAAAAATTTAGTTAATATTTGCATCATTTGTGATTTATTTTATCCACCCCGCGACCCACCCGCAAATAATCAGAATGCATTTTTTTATTACCCGACCCACCCGACCCGCGGATTATCTGCAGCGCCCGCGGATATAACCGCCATCACTACCGCCTACTGCCATTCTAACACTTGGAAGAGCAAGGAAAATTTTTAATATAACTCCGATTGGATTTGTCTGAAAGAAGAAAGTCACATACACCTAGGATGCCTTGAGAGTGAGTAAAACATGGGCTAATTTTCATTTTTGGGTGAACTAACCCTTTAAGCATTTATTTAACTGTTTTGTGTTAACAAGTAATTTCATAATTTAAGCCAAAAATCCACCAGCTTTTTTTAAACTTGATGTGTTGTTTTTAGTAGGCTACCCTCTAGTCTGAAAGGTGTCTGGTCTCCAAAGTTGACAAGAGAAGACAGGATGCAGTACTTCAACAATGAGGTACAGATGCCGCCCATTTCCGGATTCCCAACAAAACAGATTTGTCCTAAACCAGTCAGCAATATTTCTCCTCAGCCTGCTGGTAGAGAATCTCATCAATGGGCCGAACTTCAGAATTGTAATGGTTTTGATTCTTTTGCACTTCCCTGCAATTTCTCCACCTGTAATGGAGAGGCCAACACATATTCTCCTCAAGATCTCCCTCGCCCCCCAGGCCTGAGCACACCCCCAGCGTTAAGCTCTAGCCTCTTCCAGACCAGGCCTGGTAAACCTGAGTATATTACACCCGAGAAGGAGGAAGGATACCGCAGCACCACTAACTGCCTGTCTGATTATATAAACTCAGTCAACAACTCCTGCTGCCCTCCTCAAACAATGGATGACTCCTATTTCAGTTCATCTCATGAATTTTCATCTGTGAGCAAAGATAAACTGAAAGACACCCAATCGTTCTCTGTGCAGGATGTCAGTAAACTGGCCTTTCTCTTGGCAGAGCAGGATATGAACTATTGCAGAGAATCTACCCAGAATGGTCTTTTAGGACAGAGGAATCTTGAGGAAATCATGGCAGAGCAGAAGAGTCATGCTTTTCAAAGGATGTCGGAGCTTATTACTCAAACAACAGATTTTAAGAGAGAGGTGACACACAACCATATGGAGCAAAGAGGAGCTAAAGTAGTGGATAAAAAACAAAGTCATTATACTACGAATGAATTTTCAAGGTTTGGGCCACCAAAGACTTTTTCTCCTACCATCATGCCTCCAGCCCTCCACCCAAACAGAGAAGCCAGCCTGATAGGAAGCAGCACCGCCCAAAACAGTGTAAAGCAGTACCAGCTTATCCATTCAAACCATTACCAAAAACAAGCTAAGATTTCAGCAAAGACCAACAGCAACAATGAATCACAGGGTTTTGCAAAGCTCACAAACACATCAGGGGCTGTTCCATTGCTTCCTTCTCAGCAGTTGTTCCGGCCTGCAGTGAGAGTCTCGGCTGATTTGAGTCAGGGCAACACAGTAAATCTACATGGTGCGATAGGCCAGGTCAGTCTTGAGGATTTAAGGAAGGGAGCGGGAAATGTGGATATTTCAGATTTTGACCTCCAGCTAGAGAACAACAGGTTGTCCGCGGGCCTCATGGTCGATGGGTGTTTTTCTCCACGCTTTAGCATGAAACCCAAACTTCCTGGTTTCCTTAAAGAGGCAGACAAGAAAACAGGACTCCTGCAGAATCCATATCAGGGACTGGGCAGTTTGTACGGAGGACAAATGAGACACAACGGAGCGAGTTCAAACTCAGCCAAAGCTATACCATCACAACTTTTCCCATTCCTATACCAGATGGGTGATCCCAGAAAAAGCACATGCCACCTGATTCAGTCGCAGTCACAGTTGCCCTACTGCTCTGTGCCTGTCATCGACATGAATGAACGTCTGCCAGAGGGAGATGTTTCGCCCTTCAGCCCTTATCTACAAGAATGCATTGGGCTAAGCCAAACATCAGGAGACGGGTCATTCTCCGGGTTTCTGTCGGCCATGACTTTACCTAAGTTTGGCAAGGCACTCGGAAACCCCAACAGTCAGCTACACTTTTACTTGGAGGAATGTTACGAGCAGTGGAAGATGCTGGAAAAAGAGAGAAAGCAAGTAAGCGGGATGTTTCTGAGACATAAGCGTGTTCATGTAGTTCATGTATGAATTTTCAGGTATGTGCTGCTGTATTGACGTATTTTTGTCGTAGAATAAAACCTGAAAATATCTTAAAGCTGCAGTCCATAACTTTTGGCGCTCTAGCAGTTAATAAACAGAACTGCATGCGTCTTGCGGAAGAACATTGTAGCCATTTTGAAAATTTTGAACCCAAAAATGTTACGGACTGCAGCTTTAAGCTTGTGTTCAGGTTAGTTCAGGCATTTAAGCAAAAATCCATTCAAGAAACTCATTAATTTCAGGATGATGGAATGGGAAGTGCTAAAATGCTAACTTGTTTCTGGGTTTTGGCATACAAAAATACATTATTCCTTCAGCACTCTATTATAGACAAAACTGATTTCTTTTAGGAAAATAATTTATGGAAAAATAAGTTACTTAAATGATTTTCTTGTACAGATTCTACTCATGCTACTGAATTACCATGTAGGCTGACCTGTTTTCATTTCACAATCATGATAAGGTGAGAAACTAATGTAATGTGTTCTTTCTGACAGGCAGAAGCTGTTCTTACAAAGACTTACCCAGGAAAACGCGTGTCTGTAGTAACCAGTAGTGTTTTACCCAAAATGCCTCCAAACCCCTCCAGACTGGACCGCCTCATTGTAGACCAGCTGCGCGAACAGGCCAGGGTCAGTCCAGTATTTCTCATAAAAGTCTTGCCAAGGGGTTTCAAACGGGGGGCCACAAGAGAGTGCTAGTGAGCCTGCCTAAAAGTTCAAACAAATACAGTGTAAACATGTAAAGAAAATAAATGATTATGAGTAGTATTATGTAATCATGAGAGAATAATCAAAATGATTTTATTCTATTGACATTCATAGTGTTATGTTGTCTTCAGGTTTTACATCTAATAGTAAGTAATAGTAATCTAATAGTGGTGGGTGGAAAAAAGAAACTAACAACTTCATAGAAAGTGAATATTTTACACATATGTATAATTTCTATTTTTGCCTACTGTGATCTTATATTCTAGAATTAAATTGTAAGTGTTTTAAACTAGCAACAATGAATGAATTTTCTATATTATAATGCAGAATTGCATTGTGTTTGTAGGTGGCAGGTTTGCTAGGCAAGATGGAGCAGTTGCGCAGTTTTCCGCTTCATGCTAATGTTGGCTCAGCATTGGACAGGCATCTTGAGGTCATCTACATCACTCAGGCACGCCGCAAGGACGAATTCATCAATGCCAGCAGCAGACAGAGGCAGCCAGCGGCCTTCTTTAGAGAGGACAGGGGTTAGTGAGTCATACACTATAACAAAACCAGGAAATACACATACAAAAATACAAAATCTTATATAAACTAGTGTGAAGCTAGAATCCTAGAAAAGTGGAAGATGACAGGGCTTGGTAAAGTCCCCCTCAGCCTTAGTTTTACTGCTTAAGGCTGGAATACACTACACGACTTTTAAAATCTGAACAGATTTTAAAATACTGGGCATCATACACTTACCAAATTTAAAAACTGGCCATCATACATGAAACAACTTGTTCTAAAATCTGCTGAAAATATCAAACATGTTTGATATCCTCCGACTGGATGGAATCAAAGTCTGCAGCTAAAATACGTTCAGCCCTAGTGTATTCCAGCCTTTAGTAACAGAACATTTGCTTAGTTCTTGCATCTTGTGTGTTAAAAGGTGAAAAAAAAAATATATATATATTTTTCACATCTCACAGAGATCCTTCTGTTGGCATCTGCAGTGAAGGACCTGTGCAGCAGCACCAGAAAGGCCCGGACCGCTCTTTGGTGTGCATTACAAATGACTTTGCCCAAAACAAACAGTTACCCAGAGGAGAGAGACGAGCTGGGTACCTGCTCCCCTTTAGGCCAAGACAGTTCTGAGCAAAGCAGCTTGGAGAGAGCACTGACTGCCCTGTGATCAATTTCTGGCAGGTACACAGTTTTTTGTGTGTTTTTTGACACAAAGTAACATCGATCTAACCCGTCCAAAAAAGTGCAAGAGGTGATGGGATTGCATTTTAAGAAGAATGAATGAGTTATTTAAGTTATTCCACTAAAGTGATACGTTATACTGGGCATCATACACTTACCAAATTTAAAAACTGGCCATCATACATGAAACAACTTGTTCTAAAATCTGCTGAAAATATCAAACATGTTTGATATCCTCCGACTGGATGGAATCAAAGTCTGCAGCTAAAATATTGGAGTCTGTGACCATATGCGATTTTTTATGAAATCTGTCATCTCAAATCCTCAGACTAAACACTGTCTGTTAACTTTAGACCAGTGGTTCTCAAACTTTTTTGGTTGCGCCCCCCTCAGACTACCAAATAATTTCACTAAACATTATGAAAAATTAATGTTTTTTTTATTTAAAAAACCTACAGGGAAAAAAACACCTGCATCACTTGAAACATTGTCTTCTGTGAAAACCACCAATCAGATTATAATCAAATTCTCCAAAAGACATGGAATTATGGCAGTAAGATCAGTACTGAGCTATTTTGTCCAAGGACCCCAGAGGAACTGCCAGTATAAACAAGACGTTTTGAGAGAGTATGAAAGAATGATTTAACAGTGACAGAAAGAGAGATGAAATTAGAAGAGGGACCTTTTAACTGGCTAATGGTGATAATGGAACAGAATGTATGGCAAGAGCAAGATCTGTGGCTTTGGAGGATAATGGGATATTTTTGCCCAGTTGACCTAGAAATTTATAAATAGTTGCACAGGAAGCAAAAAATTATTTGTGTTGAAGTTTTTTTTATTTTTGAGTTTAATTAGTGTCTCCTACAACCCATTCAAAATCCTCAGCTAATTTTAGTTCCAGTGACACTCATTCAGGCAAAAACAGTATTTATGATCAACAGGACGTGTTCCAGTTGTCCTTTTATTACTTTACTTATTTATGTGCATGATTCTTTGGCGTCAGCACTTGGTTTTTAGTGGTCTCACTGGATAAGCAATGACAATCACATCTTTCCTAAATCTGTTTTGTTTTTTTGGAAACTTTGAAAGTGAATTTATTTATTTGCAGTTTGTTTATCTCAATTCTGAATTCATCTCAGTATTCTCTATATTTCAATGTATGTATGTGGTCAATCTGTCTGTGATGTAACTCATTTGAGGATATATCGAGTAGCTGAGAGTAACATCATTCATGGACTGAAATAAATGATGTCAACAACATGTTACTAGAAAATGCTACAGACTGACATAGTTCATATGACGTGTACTCATATTGCCTTTGTTTTTTTTGCTTATGCTTTTGTTCAAGTTTAACAATTAAACTAACACAACACAAAATCCCAGAACTCACAGAGTGGTGCGTAAAACGAATGTTTATTTAATTAAACATTGATTCAAAATACAATGTTAATCAATGCTCTAATTAAAAAAAATGCAGATCCCAGTCTGTATGCAATGAAACTAAAATCATTCAGTAAAGCTGCAGTGAATTTGACTGTTCACTTACAATAATGTGTTTTAAAAGAACAGTGTTATGATCAACTTGCCAAAAACGGTTGGTTGGCTGAGTTATGAAAGCCATTTGTAAACAAGTTCCTCCCTCTCATTCAGGTCTGAAAATCCTAGACATTTACCCAGCAAATATCATATTGAAAATCCTTAAATGTCCACTGAGTTGAGGCTTAACAGAATAAACCACACTGAAGAGTGTACCTTGCAAGATGATTTCCATTATTAAATCATATGGACACTTTTCAAGTTTGACACCTTACAACATTTAAGTTGTTAATGTAAAGAAAAACATCAGAGGTAAGCAAAGCAGTGTTTGGATAGATAGAAGTTTCACCAGTCAACAGTGTTGAAGAGTCAGAGCTCTTATTGCATAAATAGAAGATTCATTAAGAAATTATAATAGCCTTGCAAGATGATTTCCATTATTAAATCATATGGACACTTTTCAAGTTTGACACCTTACAACATTAAGTTGTTAATGTAAAGAAAAACATCAGAGGTAAGCAAAGCAGTGTTTGGATAGATAGAAGTTTCACCAGTCAACAGTGTTGAAGAGTCAGAGCTCTTATTGCATAAATAGAAGATTCATTAAGAAATTATAATATCTTCTGCAATCGGCAGTGACACCCAGAGTATACAAGCAAAGTGAAGCTTCTGATGATCCCTCTGAATCAAACCGAGTCTGTAGATTAAAAAAAAGCATCTAAAGCATCCATACATCAATTTTAAAAACTGCAACTTGTGGCTGTGGTAGAAAACCTACACATGACACCAAGGCAGAACTATATTCTCCAATTCAAGTTATATTAGTCGAGAGTGAACACATTCATGTACACAACTCAATTTATTGTACCAACTTCAAGTACAAAATGTTAAATACCGTGGCTTTGATAAAAGAATGCCTCAATCACCTGATCTTACAAGCTAACAGACACTAAAGGTTTCCCATTGTAGCATATGAGAAGGCAGTCTACAAGGTATTATTAGCACAATATGTAGCAGCTTCAAATGAACAGTTGTCAATTGATATATATGTGCACACACACACCCTGCTCACTTTAGGATCATCACTGTCCTACAATAAAAATAAACCACAACTGAAACAAACACTAAGAGCAAAAAAACTGTACATATGTCGGCCCCCGCCTCCTCTCCCATTGATTAGCAGTTTTGTTTCTCTGTCTTTGGGTTGTCTCTAAGCCCTCTCCATATGCTGCTACATGATGACAAGGCTTCCATTGGTTTCTGAAAAGCTTGTGAGCTGTGAGCTTTTGTATCTTGAGCTGTGTGTTAAAAATCAATGTTGTGCTACTGAGGAGCAACCTATGGAAAACATAAAAAATGGTTCACAGGTTATTTGAAAGTCCCTCAAGGCAATAAGATGGGGATTTATGCTGTTTTTAGACACAAGAATGTTGGTTATCCGCTGGTAAATGTTAAAGAGTGAATTTCACAGAAACATGTTAAAAGAGTGAATCTCATGGAAACATGTCCAGGTCACTTTTCAACTGCCTTATATATATATATATATATACACACACACACAGTATTGTGAAAAGTATTGGGACACCCCCTACTAATGAACAGGTTTGTCTACTTTAGTAATTTCCGTGAGTACAAATCTTAATGTTTTAGCATATAATGATATTCAAGGGAATTGTGTGCTTCTAATTTTATAGCAACAGTTTGGACAGGACCCTTTTCTAACATGACAATGCCTCTGTGTATAAGACAAGGTTCAAAAAGAAATGATTGATTCAGTCGGTGTGGAAGAACTTGAGTGGTCTGCAGAAACCCAGCTGAACACCTCTGGTGTGACTTTAAACGCTGACCTCGAGCCAAAAACTCATCACCAAACACCAATGACTTGTACATATGAGTAAAGTCATTTTAGACACTTCCAAAACTGTTGCAAAAGAGATAGAAATAAAAAATTTTAAATACATGAATTATGTTTCCATCTTTTTGCCAGTTTTGGAAGTGCCTTTTTCTGTTCTAAAGAAGGGGGTGTCCCAATACTTGATTTATAAAAAGTATAGAGAGAGAGAGAAAGAGAGAGAGAGAGTTCAGATGCAAAAGCCTGTAAGTGCCGTTTGAAATTTTCTTCTAAAATGAGCATTTTTATCAGCCTCCTATGTGTAGGTTTAGTAATGTCACTTGAATGGCAATGAATAGGTTCTTTTCTTTGTAATTAAAATAAAATAACAATTATGAAGAAAAATGACAATTTTAGATGGCACTTAGAGGCTTTTGCATCTGAACTCTTCATATATATTTATATACACACACACACACAAACACCAAAATGAAAATAAAACTTATTTTAGGATTATGAAGATATTTTGCATAGCCACATTATACTTTACAATTTAAATATTCATGTAACACAGTAATGACAATAAAGGGGAAATGGTCTTTCACCAAATTATTAATTATGATTTTTGGGTTGAAATGCAACCTGAACATGTTTTTGACAGGGTGTGTGAGATTTACCCTTAAATAAGTAGCACAACAGTCAGCACCTGTAGAAATGAATGGGTCATGATACAATTCTCACTCAGTTTGCTGGTTTGCCATTTGTTGTTTTTTTTACAAGCCAAGAAAACAGCTAAATCGGCCCAACATTATCATTCCATAAGCACTATCGGACCCAAAACAGGATATGGATGCATACATTGTTAGTTGGGGCATTGTTTGCTGAGGTCTCATTGTATTTTTCTCTTGTAGATTAATGACCTTGGTATCGTATAGTCCACAAAAGTTTTCTTGCTCTGTATTTTCTCTCTATCTCTTGCGTTCTCCCTTCTGTGTGCGTTTCTTTTCTTTGTCCTTGCGCTCCTGCTTGGCCAGTTTGTCTTTCTCGCGTTGCATCTTGTCCTGCTCTTTCTTCTTCTCTGCGTCCTCTCTGGCCTGGTCACGCTGCTGTTTGCGGCGGTTCAAAACATCCTCGACATTGGTGTTTTTGAACAGGGCTGGGGCTGGGGCTGGCAGTGAAGGGAACAGTTCATGTCTAATCATTGCAGATCATACTACAGCTGCTCCTACAACAGTACTGCACACTATAAATACTGTGTATAACCAGAGCAGAGATCTTCTCCTGAAGTGATCGTGGTTATTACATAGTAGAGTGATGGTGTAAAAAAGGATACATTTTTCACTGGGTATACCCACTGCAGCAGGTTCTTCCTCATCATCTTCAGTACAAATGTTAAAGAAACTGCTTCACACTGGATCACCTGATCCCTGACCTTGAGAGAGACTCTGTGATGCTTTGTTCTTAACAAAGTGCCATAAAAAATACAACATTACAAACAAGTGTGTTAAAAGGATATTCCTCCTCATCGGTGACTTGAGCATACTGTGCCAGTAGAGCCTCTTTCCTCTTCTTGGCTTCCTCTGACACCTCCTTCTGTTTGACCACAATCTGTGCCTGCTTCTCTATCAAACTGGCAATAGCCTGAACCTCAGCTGAAAATGGAAAACAAAAAACAAAGACAGTTTTCCAAATACAGTAGCTGAAAAACATGTTTATATCACTATTACTGTACTGTGAGATAATACAGAAGAATGAGAACAATTAAAAATCTTGAGCTTATACTAAAATTACGGAATTGTTACACAAAAAAAGTGAGAAATAAAAATATTAACGTACAGCACTGTTCAACAGTTTTGTAAAATTGTAAAAATGTTTTGTTGTTGTTGAAAAGATGCCTCTTATGCTCACCAAGGCTTGATTTACTTGATCAAAAACCAGTAAAATTGTGAAGCATTATTACAAAATTCACTGAATTCACTTAATATATTTTAATACATAATTTATTAGTATTCAGTAAAGCTGAATTTTCAGCAGCCATTTGATGATTTGCTCAAGAAACATTCTTCTTATCAATGTTGAAAACAGTTGTGCTGTTTAGTAGTTTAGAAACTGATACCTTTTTAGGGTTTTTTAATAGTTCAAAAGTTTATTTGAAACAATTTTTTGTAACATTATAAATGTCTCTAGTCACGTTTGATCAGTTTAATGCTTCCTTGCTAAATAAAAGTATTAATTTCTTTAAAAAAAATCTTACCACACAATTTTGAACGGTAAATGGGGTCGCTGTGATTCACCTTTTTTAATTTCAGCTCTCCACTTACCATCTCCCTGAGTACCCTTCACTGCAGATCTGCTGCACTCAGTCCACTGTTTTAAGATCTGCTGGCAAACCTCCTCAAGCGTGTCTTCTTCCTACGACAATAAAGTGACCTCTGCTTACTAACACAAGCCTAAAACGGTCAGGCAAACGACTGTATATGGATGTTTGCAGTGACTTCACACAATCTCTCTCTGCACACACCTTTCGTAAACCTACATTCAAATATAGTTTACAACATCTGAAAATAAGCTGCTCGTGTTCGATTATTTTTGAGTAAATTATGATAGTAAAAATAAACATTATACCAGTGAACAGCAACAGGCGTTTTTGATCACGTTTCGCACTTTAACTGCTCAAATGAAGGGCCAAAAAAGCAATTCAGTTTATAACATAGAAGTGTTTTTCGGGTTTATGATGAGGTTTTCAGAACAATTATTAAATATTACAAGTTTCTAACAGTGTGAAATGTCTTGACAGCTGAGTTGAGCGCGTGCACTGACCAGAAAAGCGGACAGGATGCCCTGAAGAGCGTCCTTTTGCTCTTCATCGTTTTCCTCTTCCTGAAGCACTCCGAGTATATATGCTCCGTAAACTTCTCTGTCTACTTCGAGGGAATCCAACCGCTCGTTCAGCCAGTTTTCAAAGTCCCTGGCGATTTGGTTGGGCGCCGCCATTTTCCCTGGCTGGGGTCCTGATAGTGAGGCGGGATGTCCGCGCAGAATGCCAGACACAAATGCGCCAAAAGAAAATCCATACTTTACGCATCCTTTTCATTTCGATAGAATTTGCGAACTTAGTTATTTCATTATTTACACGGGGAGATTACATTTAGCTTGGTATTCATATAAGTGAGTGCCGTCTAGTACGTGCGAAAAGCTTATTTAATTGCTCACAATTTAAGCGCAACATGTTTGAAGCAGGCATTGTTTTTATAACGCAAGCGTCCTGTGCAGCAACGTGGTATCAGAACAGTTGATTTTAAACCAAAGCTCACCACTAGAGGGCATTAGCTGCCAATTTACCCAAGAAGGCCGAATTCTCAGGCGCACATCCGGATCCAGGTAAAGAACTGTTGGATGCTGCTGTATTAAAAAAGCATATGCAGGTACTGTGATTTATTATTTATTTATTTTAGCAATACATGATTAACACGTTTGCATCTGGTGTGGGCATTGATATTTTGTACATAACATCACTTCACTTAGGAATCATAATCAGGCTTAAAACGGTCAATAAAATGAATATGCATCATGTCAATATGCTGAGAGGGCTACAAAAATATTTTATATAATGCAAGTGTTTATGTTTCATAAATTGTGTCTGCATAAAAGTCTGCTCATGCTTAAGATATAAGCCTGTATCATATTTGATGCATGCATTTCTCAGGTCTTTAATATATCAACATGATCAAAACTTTGCTGGAACACCTGTTGCACACAATCTATTACTTGCTTCTTGCCCTCTGACTGATAGTTCATACTTTTTTAGTAAAAGACCTTTTAGTATAATTCTAAAAATGTCCACCCAAAAGGTCATGGTACACATGTCCTTCTGCAGTGAATGTAAGGTAAAGTAAATGTAAGGAGAACTTCACCATGAAAAACATGTTAAAATGTATGATACAGCAGTTTTGCTGAGAAATGTTTATCTCTCAATCACTGTATTGCATTGCATTATATGTTTTGCCCCCCAAGATTAAAACTAGAGTATAATGAAGCTTTTGATTATCTTTTTAAGACATACTGTTAGGAAATATATAAATTGCATATAAATATCAGTTGTCACTCTCGAAGTAATCTTCTGTAGGCTACTGTTATAAAAAAAAAGACTGATTTACATTACAAACTATCAGATTTTATCAGTTTTTGGGCCATATAAATTACAATATCTGCACAAAATTATTAATATTATTATTTTTCAGTTTGAGCCTCTGACTAAAATTGAGGTGTTTTTTTTCTTCCTCGAATGTAAGCTCCATATTCTCGCTATATCACATGAGCTATAAAAGCCGGATTTATGATACAAAACATAACACACATATCAACTTACTTTAGATTTTGAGTGAAGGTTCAACAAATATTTCATTTTTGTTAAAAAAATGCTTTATTAGGTTTAAATTCAGGAGACTGCATCTGAAGTGTCCATTTGGTGTTTACAAGTCAATTGTGTATCAGTGTTTGTTCTGTTGTGAGTAAAATTCATCAGGCTTCAACAGTATTACTGTAAGGCACAAGTTCATCCAGTGAAAACAAATGAACAAATAGGTTGCACACATGTTGTGAATTTGGCCTCTGTATTTTGATTTTAGACTAAGAAATTCTGTGCTCGTGTTTTTCCTGTTTGATTATGTTTATGGTTGGTTGTGACATCTGAAGCTTTTTCGTGTCATCTCTGTGAGAGTAAAAAAGTCTGTGAGATTGTTTTATATTTTTTTTTAAATTGGAAGACAAAGTTTGAGGCTCTTTGAACATATAAGATTTTAGTTTATATGACTGATACAGAGAAAACATGAGAGTGGAAAGGTAAAATGTAAAGATGGAAAAAGAGACTGTTTGATAAGGCCATTCCCAGGCATAAGGGTCCAGGGTCGTTGTTGCTTGTTGCTGTGGGCCACTATTTTAAGCACTATTTTTATCAAGGGGATGCAGATTGATACAAAGCGACAAGAGCCAGGGGCTGTGGCAGAGCGTGCGGGTGGGCATCTACACGCTCGGGTCCAAAGGCAAACACTCACGCTCTCTCTGTCTCTCTTTCAAAGATCTCTCTCTATCTCTGGTCCCCCTCCGGGACCAATACTGTGTCCTCTCTGTCAGTATCCCGGCTGTACACATCTGCATGTGACACAAACCTCCGGCCCGCTTCGTGATCAGCGTGTGTGTTCTCGTGTGGTCGTGACTGTTTTTTAGGGTGTCCCTAAAAAGTATTCAAATGTATTACAGTCTTGTTTTATAATTTAAGGTGATAAAAGGTTAAGTTTGTGGAAGTTTTTAAATTGGAAATGAAAAGAAAGGAAGTGCTTCTTATAAATGATTATGATTAGTTATTACTTTCATGAATTCATTAACTAGATCTTTACTGTATTTTAGTCGTTACATCAGTTTTTCATCTTAATTTAAATATTAGTTAAATTAAAGTGCAAATAAATAAAAATACATATATTTTTTTAATTCCTTCAACTTCCTTCCATACTTCCTGTAGCTCAAACTGTAGAGCAGGTCATTGGTTTGGTTCCCATGGAAAGCAACCACTGATCAAATGTGTACTTTATATAAAAGATTTAAAGGATAAAAGCGCTTGCCAAATGTGTACATGTAAATTGACATTTTATTATTTTTTCAGCCCTAATCAAGATTCATGTAGTTCAACTGACTACACTGATGAAATGTTTAAAATACTTTTCTCATTTAATAACATTTTTGATTATTGTTTTTTTTTATGAAAATAAAAAACGTCTTAAAAAGGCCTTAAACATGCAGAAGATATTATACAGTCGAACCAAAAATTATTTAGACACCAAATATAATTTTTGATATATATATTTTTTTACTAGTGGGTGCAGGACACTATAGTTCATTTATGTAATTGAGGATAGCAAAATAAAGTAAACTGTGACGTATTGTACCCAAAAATTCTTCATACAGTGGACTGCCAGTAAAATTGATCAAAATGTGGGACCAAAAATTATTCAGACACTTTGAACTGACCATGTTTTGCTTAAGCATTTTTTCTTTAATTGCTAATGCGAACTTTTTACACCACAGACTGAACAAAATGAAGCATTGCTTGGTAATTGTTTGACCTAAATTGGTATTATCTAATTGTGTACTTAAATTTAACAGCTGACAGCTATTCAACTGAATTCATTTGTGAGACAGTCTAACAGAAGAATGGCATTATCAAGATGAATTTGTTCAGAGTTCTTGTCATATTTTATTATCGTTTTCTAAACTATAGCGAATAAACTGTGATAATGTTAGAAATGTTGAAGGTGTCTGAATAAATGACTGTAAATGGTTTGACTGTATTTGCTTGTAGTTGTTTGTTTGTGCACGTTAGCCCTGGTTTCCACCAACAACAGAAGCATCTTAATATTTAACAAAAAGTTTTTAGATTTATACCTTTGTATTTGTATTTGCATGTGTGCGTTTTCTTGCAGTTGTGTCTGTGTTAGCTGTGCAAGTTCTGGCTATATAAAGGACAGTCAGCAGTACAATAGAGAGGCAGAAGGTCACATATGTAGCCATTTTCTGGCATATGGAGTGGACGGCAGAGCAGAGGTTATCACTTTTCTTCCTTCACTGTCTTTCTCAGTGTGACAGCTCTGGCCTACACTATCTCTGTCCTCTTCAGACGCATGCATCTTATCTTCAGTTTCACTCCATTCTCCAGGGCTGTCTTCCCTCAGCAAGGCAAGCGGCTCCCATTGTTGGGCCATCTTGTCTTATCGCTGCGCCGACCCTCCTTTGGCTGTTTTCAGTTGTGTTTTGCTCGTCACTTGGTTCTTGGCAAAACGGCAAACTGAGACACTGACAGCAAGAGGAGCCTGTCTAATGGAGCCTCACTCTGAGGAGAAAATAGCAAACAAACAATAGAGGAAGCAGAGAGGATGGATTGTGTAATTCAGGAAGAGAGGATGGGGAGTGAATTTGCATACTATGCGTCCCAAATAGTGTCAGATATTAGAATTAGTGCATCCCCAATTATAGTACATTTTCCAGTGGGTTTTTGCAGTTTGCATCAGTGCATGCTTTTTCAGCTAATGTTGCCCACAAATGCTTGTAGAAGAACAGAAGTGAAGGATTTTGTGAATTCACTTTTGGCTTTCTTATGTACGGTGGCCGAGAAGTGCAAAGCAAATCAAAAAGGAACCTTTTCCGGTTTGTCTGATTTGTCATTGTGTTTTCTGACTTGTTATAATGTTTTCTGAATTGTTGTTGTGCTTTCTGAATTGTTATTTAGTTTTTTAGATTTGCGTTTGTAATTTGTTATTTTGTTTTCAGAATTGTGATTTGCTTTGCACTTCTCTGCCACCGTACTTATGGTTCCCAAGGAAGACTTGGAAATACCATGACATTTTTAAATTGTGATTTTTAGGACTTGAAACTTAATGGAAATTAATATAATTAAATCCATGTAATCTTATTAAGATAATTATTATTAAGTTATTAACTTAATTTTTAATTATTTTAATTATTCATTTTTTCCTGTGATGGCAAAGCTGAATTTTCAGCGGTCATTACTCTTCAGTGTCACATGATCCTTCAGAAATTAGTCTAATATGCTGATCTGCTGCTCATGAAACATTTCTTATTACTATTACCTAAAACACTTGTACTGTTTAATATTTTTTGTAATATTAAAACAAACAAAAGACTTACTGACCCCAAAAACAATATTTAAAAATCATCCTTTAATGCCCCCAGTGATTGTATTGCAATAAACTTCGTAAGATGTTTAGGTGAAGAGGGAGATGCCAAATATTATCTAGTTATAATATGTGCAATACCAGTCATAATGGAACGTAAATAAATAAATAAATAATTCACAGCAATTTCCTTGTTGCACATCTTTATACCATAATCAAGCTGCAACTTTTTAAAATCTATGGTTGTAAAAAGATTAAAAAAGATCATTTCGTTTATGAAAGTAAGGAGTTTAGCTAGATTATAAATTCATCGTTTACATGCAAAAAAGCCTTTGACTCACTCGCTAGGGGCTTAAAGATTTTGAAGCACATTTCCTGGAAAGCTGCTCACTAGGGCCTAAAGACACAGAGATACACAACTTCTCCATCACCAGCAAAAAGTGTGTAGTTTAAGTATTCACATTGAGACAGGCAGCGTCTATGCTGAGAGCAAACGTCGCAACAAAACTAGAATGTCCCCGTTATAAATAACAAAGCTGCCACATTGCATACTTATAGTGTAGACAGCTCTGTTGATTATAATTGGAGCACTTTAGTTTTGTCGTGCCACATTGTAGAATATGAGAAGCAAAAAGGGTTGGACGGAAGAAGAAAGAGATAGAGAGGAGGTAGGAAGTAATAAGGACCTAATTAGCTT